AACCCCTATATAACCGCAATATACCCCCAATATAACCCCTATATAACCCCTCTATAACCCAATATATATTGCCAGGGGTGAGTAGCAAGTCCAGGCCAAGGGTCAGGCGAGGGCCATGCTTCGCTGCTCGCATCTGCAGCGAGGGGCCCAGCTTTGCTGCTGGGAAGTCTTAGGGTCTTAGGGTTTAAGGTTTCAATTAGGGGTACCATTTGGGGGGGGGATCCCGATATTTTGGGAAACTACCCAGTCGGGGTTGCTGCTCAGGAACTTAGATCAAGTTGTTACAGTAAGGAAACCCTATGATTTACTATGTACGCACATCATGATAGCTAAAGTTATGTTCCGTACGAGCAACCCAGAAGTTTCTTGATGGGTTTGGGCTTAGGTTTCAGGACAAAGCGCTTAGGGTTTAAATGGCTTAGGGTTTAGGTTTCTGGATAACGCTTGTTTAGGGACAACCTGCAAGGGTACTTGACATCAAGCCCAGTGCATTGTCGGGTGCGCGTGTGGAACGAGGATGGAGATGGGCGACTACGAGACAGCCCTCCAGAGGGCCCAAAAGGCCAGCACCATCTACCACCAGGAGCGCGATCTGTTTGTGCCAAGATCACTAGGATATCTTCTTTGGGGCCTAAGTCTAAGGCCTATCCGCATCTAATTCATTCTGAAAATGGCAGCCTTGCAATCAGCAGAAATTCCGTGACTGAAGGAGAGGCAGAAGAGAGAGGAGGCGGACGCGAGATATCTCTGCGGTGAGATCTTCTGGAAGAGGGGCGATCACAAGGCCACAGCCGTGAAGCTGTTTTAGCCATCCTTCTGTGTCTGTTTGGGTAAGCTCCTGGAGGACAGTACCGAACATGCTGGTCAGAGCTCGTAAGTTGGAGAAATTACGTAGATCCCTTATGTTTGTACGTCAATCAGAGTGGTATACGCGAGACAACTCCTTCCTGTTGGTGAGTGGGGATACAAGGACTACGACAAGAGAGTCTAGCAGGGCTATTATAGTAACGATTTTAAGATGTAATTATAAGGGTCCATTCCCACACCCTACTGGCCACCCATACCCTAAACATGCAACAGTAGTTTCCATTGTATTTTCCATTATCCCAATATAACCCCAACATACTACAGTAGTTTCCATTTTATTTTCCATTATCCCTTGTATGGGGTAGTTTCCAGTATTTTCTCATCCATTCCTCCATTCGTTGCTAACAGCCGGTACGACCCGAGGCGGCGATCAACTGGGCAGAACGAGCTGAGGACTCAGAGTTCCAGGGGGTTTAGGGTTGAGGCTTTAGGGTTTAGAGTCCCAGAAAATGAGGGGATATATTGAGGTTATGTGAGTTGAGGTCTAAACTCTTTAATAGCGGGGGTATATGGGGGAGTATGACAGGGCTCATATGGGGATGCTGGAGTTTGCACAATGGCTCAATCAAGGATAATGGAAAAGAACATGGAAACTACTCCAGAAGGGATGCAGAACAAATTACATTGGTGACCCTAAGTGGTGCAAGATTTTCTCCATCCAACCTAGAAATCATGCAAGTGAGTTATCCAACCCGTCTAAACCCTAAAACCTCTGAAGAGCTACAGGGCGCTTCATGCCTGGATGCTGGGAGTAAAAGGACAACCTTCAGCAACTAAGCCCTAAACCTTAAACCCTAAACACTGAGCCTGTTTCTTTAGGGTCGGTCCATTTTGTCGGGGGGTTGGGAGTAGATGCTTTGACGCAGACTGAGGAGTTGTGAGCCACTCTTTTTCAAGAGACACAGTGCCGTGCCGACTTAACAGCTCTCTAAACCACAAACACGTGTTGAATGTGTGGTAGGCTCAGCACGCCCTGGTCTTTTTGCGACAATCATAAGGTAATCTTTGCAAGCTTGTGTTGACCACGGCTTTTTGTGGTGTCGTGAAGAAGTATGGTGCTGCAAAGGGCTTTGGCCTCTCAGCACTAGCGTGAACTTTGTTGTGTTTTGCAGACGATGGAACCAGCAAGCCGAAGGCTATCCATGACACCGGAGGAACCGGACTTGTAGCAGGTGGCAAAAGAGATCGAAGAGACCTAGAAAGCGGCGCCAGTGGAGGCGGAAAGGATAACCCTACGCGCTGCAAAGAAAGCCAGCCCTGAAGGTTGATGTAGGCCCAGAAGTGCTTCAACGGAACATCAGGCTGTTGACGGCCAGATCAGGGCCGAGGCGCTGGCTCGTGAACAGCCTGTTGAAGGGCTTGATTCAGGGCAGGGTGAACAGCGTCCACAGCAAGGCCACGGAACGAGGGTCGAATTCAACACCAGCAGGAGCAAGTCTGGAAAATGGGGCTTGGTGGGCGATTTTTTAGCTCTCCAGAAATTGTTCCTCAGGTTACGTTCTGTGTGGGGACATCGGACGGTATGCAAGTCACGGTGAGGGTTTGGTTGCGGAGGTATGCCCACTTAGTGGGTGTGCAAAAAGATGGCTGAACACTGCCCTGGTGATCTGGCCCCGTGCGCCGCGCGCAGACATCCAAAAGATACCTCAGGGTTTTAAAGAAATTCTAATTCAACCTATCGTTTATTGAGGTAACATTGGGATAATGGAAAAGAAAATGGAAACTACTCTAGTATATTGATTCAACCTCAGCCCTAAACCCTAAACCCTGAGGCAAGGGCCAGCTACCGCGAGCTCGAGCAGACGGAGGATGAGGTTTGGGGAGTGTTGGGTGTAAGTTAGGATGTAGGTGTTTCCCAAACTTAGGGGCCGGTTTTATGGTTTAAGGTTATTCTAGACCTGAGTTGTGAAGCTCGATAAGAGGAAGATGGTGTGGGCAATTCGGAAACTTTCGGAAAGGTGCTCTGCCTCTACGTCGTAGCCGAGAACGCTGCGCGTCTGGCGAGCCAGGAAGGTGCGGAGAAGTATGTGGATATTGGTCTAAATTCCCTATAATACGGGGTCCTATATTTGGGTTCCCATTATCGTACGGGGTCCTATATAAATTTCCCCCATTTTGGGAACAGTAATTTAGGGAAACTTCCATGTGTCTCGGGGTCAAGATTATCATCATCATGGCTTATCTTGAGATATAATCCGATACAATTCCACCAAACTTACGATACTGACACAATACCGTCCATGAGTCGCGGAGGTGCAAGAGTGGAAGATTCTCAACCGCCGCCCAGGGCTGCCAGAGATGTCGGGCTCTCAGGCACACTAGCACAGGGCCCCGGAAGTTCCCAGACAAGAGATTGGAAGTCAAATCCTGATTTTGCACCATCTCATGTTGGCTGCAACTTACAAAACTTCGGAAAACAGCAGGGTTCATAAACCCACCATCACAAAAGGACCGACAACTTTGGCACAGCCTCAAGAACTTTTGGCTCTCCTCTCATTCAGGCTTTGGAGAAGGCGCTGAAGTCTGCTGAGGTCCCAGGGGATTTCAGAAAGGGTCGTTAGGCTCAATGGCTGCCATTACCACGACTATCACCATGACCATTACTGTTATCATTGCGAATAGGCATCATTGTTATCGTTATTACAAGTACGATTGCGCTTGCTACTGCTAACACTTCAGGGCATGGGCTACCATGGGAAAGTAGGACTACCTGGATCATCGGCGGTTGTCTATGTTTACTCCTCCTCCTCCTCCTCCTCCCACTCCCTCCAGTCGCTTGCAGTTGTGCCCCCCAAGCCGCGTGATAATGCAACATATTGGCGGCATTGTTTTGGGGCGAACCAGGAGCATCAAGTCTAGATATGATTTGTTGCAGGGAGCCCCTTGAAACGGACTCCGGAGTTTGGGAAATGCCCTGAGTCTCAAAGCACAAAACCCTAAACGTTGAAGCCTATCATATATCTAGAAAGCACGCATTGTCCCTGTATTCCCTATGTAATTCCTACAGTATGTCTCCCATATAACCCTACATAATCCCCGTGTATCCCTTTACAATCCCTAGGCCCCTATGTATCCCTATATATAATCCTACGTAGTCATGCCTATATATATATGTATTCACACACATGATCACCATGCAATGCCAGGCAGGCCTTAAGCTGCTACGGGTCTCCGCCTGCGTCGCGCATCCTGAGCTCCATGGGCAGCTGCTCTGCGCGCGAGCGCAGGCGCAGATTGTGTTGTTCTTAGGGTTTAGGGGTTTAGGGTTTAGGGTGTAAGGCTCGGGGTTTAGGGTTCTGAAGTCTAGGGATGAGGGTTTAGGGTTCGGGAACTCCCCGGAAATTAAGCAGAAAAAGGGTGGCCGTGCTGGTGGTAGTGGCTGTGAGCAAAAGGAAGGAAACCTTCGCCTTCTCTGAGCTGGCGAGCGGCCAATATTGAATACATGCTGAGGTGTGCAAGGCGCAAACCCTGAGATAGATGATCGAAAGCAGTTGTCGGGCGCAAGCCGCTGGGCACATCTAAACAACAAGTGCGCAGGTCCTCACCTTGAAGCGCATGTTCGTCGAGGCGCTGGTGAGCCTGGATGAGGCAGCACGGCGCTCAGTGAGCCGCGCTCGAGGGTCATTTGCGGATTGCGCAAAATAAACTTGTGTTTTGGTCTCACATTTGAATTTTCTGAGCCTGCAGAGGTAAAGAGGATCCTACTTTGGAGACTGCCTAGGTCTGTTCGGCCTGTCTGCTGCTGCAGGTAGTAAGATTCCGGAACCTGGAAGAGTACGTCTTGGAGGCCACCGGCAGTTGGAGGCCCGTGAGCTGAGAACCAAGAGTGTCAGGCTGATGCACTTCTGCGCGCCTGCGACAACCTTTACGTGTAGGTCTCAGCTGCTATCTAACTAGATAATAGTTTCACGGCTAAGTGGAAGGTTGGTGGTGGCGTGTGCTGTTGTTGAAGTAGGACTTGGTGGTTGGCAGTGGCGATTGGAGGAGGAGCAGAGGGGTGGTAGAAGCAGCAGCAGCAGCAGCAGCAGCAGCAGCAGCCGCAGCAGCAGCAGCAGCAGCAGTTCCTGGCATGAGTGTTGTCGTCAACCGTAAAAATCTGCTGCCCGTGCCCAATCTGAGGCCCTGAGGCAGCTGAGAGAAGCCTCTGAGGCTTCCAAAGCGATTTCTTGAAGCCTGTGTTGCCTATGTTGTAAATCGAAAGACAGGCCTGACTTCAAGGAATTGGTGTGGCACTAGAGGATATTGAGAAGGAAGCAACATGCAGTCTGGCAGCCCCTCTGTTGGCAAGATTTTTGCAACTGAAATGTGTGCACTAGGAACTTCCCTTTCATCACAGAAAGCCCAGTCCTAACATCTTGTGTTGCTTTTACCCGGGCTAGCATGATACACGCAGTGTGCTGTCACACGGAAGTATGCAAATATGCAGGCGGCAGAGGAGGCGCTGATGCTGTACCAGCATTGCGAGGACAGTCGGATGTTTAGTCAGACTGGGCATTCAAACAGGAAAAGTGCTTTGGTGAAGGGGATCCAGTTTGTGAGGTTGGAAACTCCCTTTAACAGTGGCTCCTGGAATAGTGGTCCCTATATAACCCACTATAGTAGTTTCATTTTTCCATTCTTCCTATATAACCACAAATTTATACCAAATAATCCCTGTATAGCCGCCATATAATCGGGCATGTGTCTGAGGACTTCGAGGGTGAGGAGCGGGCGAAGGAAGCCGCGCCCTTCTGTGTGTGTGGGGGGGGGGTTTCGGACTTGCTGCTCGAAGCGTTGCGCTGGCAAGCCTTTTGCGGGAACATGAAGGACAATGCAAGAAGTGTGGATCTAGTCCCCCTTAAGTAGATAGAATATGGGGTATATGGGGATCTTATTGTAATATACCCAAAGCCATATTCTATCTACTTGGGGGGGACTCTAGCTATCCCATTGCCCAGATGCTCCAGAAGACCACCTTCGTGGCTGCCAGGATCGGCTGGAACTCCCAAAAGCCCCAATAAACCCACTATAGTCATCACTATATGAGCCATAATCCAAACTCCTTAAAAGGGGCTTATATAGGCGGTTATATAGGGGGCTATTATAGGGCTTATTAAGGGGGATACTAGGAGTTTAGACCACAGCTCATATATCCCCAATATAATATACCCCTATATAACCCCTATGTGACGAGACTTACAGGCACTGAGCACAGCCTACATTTGTCCCTTGTACAGATATTTCAAAAGGGAGAAGCCGTGAGCCCTCTGGAAGCTACAAAGCCCTTACCCACTCACACCTCCTCCTCATAAGTGCTGCCTTGCAACGCAGGCCTGCGGAAGCAATGCCGATGCCACAGGCTCAGGCCGGACCAGGTGTGACGCCAGTGCCGGCAGCCCAGTGGCCCAGGGGATCGTTTCACCTAGTCTCGGCTGTCCATTGGACCCAGGTGGTTACAACAAGCGGACGTGGCCGCTGAGGCCCCCGTGGCACAGATTGGGATCCTACACCCAGCTTACTGGTGGTTAGTGGGGAACAAGGGAATGTAATACCTACATAATATACTCCCTCATTCCCTACCAAGAACCAGAAAGTCACAGCAGTATGCTTACGTTTGGTTTCGGATGCAACTCGGAGAGGCAGCGCCTGCAGCAGCGAAAGTGGTTGTTCCGACAGCCACCGGGCCGGGAGCCCCAAAGCCCTCCTCCTGCCGCGCCTTTTCTAGCTAGAATATGATAGTCAAAATAGTTTATAGTAGCAATAGTAGTAAGAACAGCAAGAATAGGATGTACAGGGGATGTATGGGGATACCACTCCCTCCATCCTGGAGAATCACATGGGAAAGAAAGTGGGAAATAGAATGGAAAGCGGGATTATCTAGGATCCTTCTCAAGCCATGCATGCTTTGTGTCCTGTCCACTCATTAGCAGTTGGATACTATTCAGTAAATATTGTATATATGGCCCTTAATATGGCCCCTATAGTAACAGTTGGAGAATATTTATAGTCCAATTATAGCCCGTAATACGACCCCTACTACAGACTCTTCATGGTTCGGGGCAGGACCCAATGCATGCTGCACTCTAAACCCTAAATGACTGTTAATGGGTGGGGGCAGGACCCAATGTATGCTGCCTTCAGGCCAGCCCTTGACATGAACGCGGTCACACCAGAAGCGGTCATGTCCAAGGCACCATGCTGCACCAAAAAAAATGCACAATAATAATAATCCCAACAATAACGGTACTAATAGTAATAATGGTAACAAGTATTAATAATAATATCAATAGTAATAACAGTAATAGCAGTCATAATAGAAAGAATAGCAACAATAGTAAGACTAGTAATAATAATTGCAATAATCAGGGTATCCTGCTGTGAAGCTTGATGCCACATGATTGCACTTGATGGCGGTATGCTGGTGCGAGGTGCGAGAGATCGTGGCTGCCGTGACTGCCACGGATCAATCCGAAATTGACGCAGAAACGCCGCTCATGGAGGCTGTAGTCAGGTTCTGCTGCATGATGGCACGAGAAACATTGGCACACTTGGAGGCTGGCCTCACGAGCAGTTCTGCGATTCTTCTGCGCGATTTGCTGGGCAAGGTCTAGCCGCGAGCAGCCAACTCAGGGCACGGATGGCACGACTGTCATTCCTGCTTCAGGCTCTGCCAGTGAGCCTCCCGGCAACACTGGCCAGGGACCTGGTGCGGAGTGACTTCTGAAAGCAGGCTAGACCATCGAGTTTCCGGCCTCGGTGAGCCACCTAAGGTCTTCGACTATCCGACCATTGCGGACATGTGCGGCCCTTAATTTTGCTTACAGTTGCCTTCCCTAAGCAGAGTTCCTTTGCACAACTTGCACTAGCCACGTGACAGGACGGAACTGGTCCACCAGAGCACGATGGCCATCAAGAACTGAGATCGCCGTCTCATGGCCTTGTGAAGAGTTGTCCAGAGGTGACGTGCGCGGCCCCGCTTGCAGGATGTCCTTGTAGATCTTCCATGTCTCTGCAGGAAAGACCAGCTGCGAATTGAAACAAAAAGCGACCCAAAAACTGTTCAAATACCTCTGAATCTCAGGGACGATAGTAAATGCATTCATAATTACGTCAGAAGAAACCTCTTCCCACTAAATGCAATGACCAACGCAACTGATCTTTTCGGACCTGCACAGTTGACTTTCTGAAGCCCTCAACAGCCCTTGGGTTCTTAGTTCTTCCAGCTTGGCTCTGCAACTCTTGATTTCCATCGGCATTTACTTGCTGCTGGTTAGTCGGGAAAAAGGAATATGTGAGTTGTAAAGGGATTACATAGGGCTTACATTCCCATCTTTCCTACTAAGCCACCAGTAAGGTCATCTCTTTGCAGTCATCTGCAGTTTCGAAGCGGCTGCCAGATCATGATTTCTTTGACTTCTAATGTAGACCCATCATCAACAACCCCCCTTCCTTTTAAGGGCCTTAACATTAGGATCCCTATTCCAATCCCCATGAGGGGAGGGGTTTACTAATTAGGGGTCGACATTAGCCAAGAGCCGTGCAGAGAGATCAAGATGAAAAAAGGTGTCATTTCAGATCCCAACTGTCTTACAGAAGCCTCGGCGTGGCGTAGGAGTATCCTTCCATTACTGCCCTGACTTGGACAGTATCAATAAGATAGATATGTACAACCCTGGATGTGAGCCTTCATATATGGACTGTTACAGGGTGGGGGCAAAACTAACTAGCAATCAGTAGCACTGGACCCTACGTCCAGAACCCAAAACCTTGTAGCAAGGGGCTTTTGGCACATTTGTCCTGAAGTTGTCTGCGGACCACTTACTGCCAGCAAAGCCTCATTTGCAAAACAGGGGTAGCGTTTTCATAAGAGAGCAAGCAAAATGTCTGAGAAGACCGGCTGTACTGGCAAGCTGTAGTCATCATCGTCATACAACCAACAGAAGTACCCTAAGCCCTCGAACCTGAAACCTTGACAGCGGCGCGGAATCCAAGAGTCCCACAAGCTAGAAAAATCCTATCATGACTTCTAAGTCACCCCCTTTCAGCCAAAATACCCCTATGTCATGCCTATAATCATCCAAGCATAATCCCCATAACAATCCCCTATAGAACCCCTATGTAACCCCCGCAAACAAGATGATAGTTTCCATTTTATTTTCCATTATCCCAATATAACCCTTAACAGCAAGTTGTGTTTTCAATATCTGAGCAGGCCATAAAGGCCAACCTGCCCGGGCGTCGCCAGCTTGAAGCTCAGAGGGCGCCATGGGTTCAGGGTTTAGGGTTCAGAGTCTAGGATTTAGGGTTTAAGGCTTACGGTTTAGGGTTCAGGGTTTAGGGTTTAGGGTTCAGGGTTTTGGGTGGAGGGTCCAGGGTTGATGAAGGTTCAGGGTTCATTTCTCAAGCGGCTGGCACAGAGATATGCGCGGAAGGTAGGAGAGGATTCGGGGGTATTGAGACATTCCCAACTCCGAGAGAAGGTTTCTCGGCAGATGTGGCTTTCTTGAATCCACCTTTGCAAGATAGTCCCTTTAAGAACCCTGTGTAACCCTTTATGAACCTATATAACCTCCATATAAACTTCTACAACACCCCACATAAGACGTATATAATCCCCATATAAACCCTGTATAACCCCTCGAGTAACCTTGTGCATCCCTGTATCAACCCTTTTTCCTGCCCTACCGCCCCCTAAACTTACCTAAACCCTACACCCTAAACTCCCTTTATCAAAGGTACCTAGGGATATATGGGTTATATAATGACTATCTAAGGGTTAGTGTGAATCACTGTGTGCTGACATGGTAGTTGACCTAGTTCAGTTTGTATAGTCT